CGATAGATGTCTAAAAATAAACACAGTTGCGGTTATTTCCATTAGGCCTAGAGAGGAGTCGTAAACCCACAAGCAACTACCATCAACGCAGGACAAGATGTCTCAAATGATGGACACACCAATGGGCCAAAGGAACTTGCTGTTGAGGCTATTCAAACACAACAACCAAATAAACTAGCCATGGTTCGTCTGGGATTGCGCTAGCTGTCCAGTGTGCCGACACCTGTAGATGCGTGCGTGCTGGTGCATGTAGTGCGAACGGCAGGTTTTACACGGTGTTCGGACGGTTCGAAACGCCCGTTTTGCCTGCCCTACACGATGGGTTGGTGGGCGACAGCCGTCACGACCGGCAGTTGCTAACTCTACACCCCTCCGGAAGCGAGTTACTTCAACAGGTTATCGTAGTTTCTGCTCCGTGGGAGAGCAAAAGTATTGCCAAAAACATTCTGATGACGATGCTTCGACTGAAATTTCTATCCACTGTAGGAGCATGTAAGTTACCGGTGAAGTGAAGATTACAGGTGCGTGTTCGGCGCTATAAGAATCTGACAGATCAGCAACACCCTACCTGGTAAACCCACCGTCCAAACTACCTATGGATGGTATGCGAGCGAAAATTGTACTGAACCTATCCAGAAGACGTGTCAGATGGATAATCAACCTCAACAAAGGGGTCTCGAGATTACTTGGCTACCCTGTGGATCAGGGTTTGCGATGGACTAGAAATATCATCGACAACATAGACCGAACAGCGCTGCGGACCTTATTCGGAGCACAAAACTTCCGAGAAAGTTTAGTGGTGAGATCCACGACGTCTTTAAGAAGACGCATTTGATTGGATACGGGGTCGAATCTGAGACGTGAAACACTGTTGTGTTTGAGTGCTCTTTCTTCTTAACAGACGACGGCTGGTTAGTTTTTTTGATTCGGCCTGAGTGGACTCAGGTGCTCAATAATGGGGCGTGTCAACATGAAATTCGAGGTGTCCAAGGTTGAGTAGTTATATATAGGCAACAGCTGAAACGTGCGCACTCACTTTAACCAGTGATTATAACAGAGGGAGGCACATGACCAACATGGATCACGTGTAGCGCAGGTGGTGAATGCATAGGTGATGACCTTGAATTTAATCAAAGTGTTTCGAGAACGAAGACGGAACCACTATGTGTTAAGTGAATTGGTGGATAACTTAGTGACTTCAGGGGTTAACTGAACCTTGAGATGGTAAACTGTGCATCGGTTTTGATGCTTCTCACAGATCACCCCACTAAACAAGTATCCATCCATTTCACCACCGGAAATCGAATCGAGAAAGTGTCCCGGTCAACTTCCGTTTCCGAATATCTATCTCTGTTAACCTCTTTACGAATGGAAGCGTGTGCATTTTTGACAAATCACCCAATAACATTTCAGTGGATTAAAAAAAGCTTTGGACAGATCTCTCGTTTGTTGTTCCCCTTAACGATATGTGCAATTGGAGGGTTGTTCGAACCACTGACCTTCTGGTCAGTAAATTCGCGCTCTAACCAATGAGTCATCTCAACTCTTGATCCGCCAGACAATGAACAGTTTCATCGGGACCTCGAACTCATTATCATCATCATTCACAGTGACACTAACGTTAAGACATTGGCGCTAAACGGTAGTGATTTACCTGGAAAGGGACCTGGTGCTGACCCAACCCAACAAACACCCGGGGTGTCTGCAAGCATTTTTAAACGAAAATCTGAGTACAGAAGAAAAATAAGGACGCCATTGACCATGTTGTGTACACTAGTGGGTCAGCTATTCAACATAGTGAAATTTCGAGCCTCCAGTAATAAAAAAGATCAATTGAAATTTAAGGACTTCATCAGCCTAATGAGCCTTAGATGAGGCAAAGCCACTCTCGGGGTATTTAGATCAGTCTCCAATGACTACTGACGAAGAAGGAAGTTACTTCATCAAGCGGCCGTCCGACCAACTACACATGAGACCCAGACCCATCAGGTTCGGCTGTGAGTCAATACGACAAACAGGGAAATTCGGAGCATATATCCAAGAGGACCGGTAAACAGAAGTCTGTCAATTGGCAAGACTGTGAGCGACGCTTGCCTTTTCACGGGTGCATCAGAAGGTAGACGCTTGCAAAACCATTGCATTAGGCAACACATGCTCCCGTGGTAAGGAAGCCGCATTAAAAACTCCGTGGTTCTGCCTGAGTGTTTCATCCAGATACCCGAGGCAAACGATAGATGTGGCGACATTTGGAAAATGCCACACACGGAATTTAATCCATAAAATCGATTACAGCTGGTAGTAGGGATATTGATAGGGGGAGGAACGTAGCCGGCAACATTTTGCCTGACAATTCGATTTTTCGAAGAGGATGCAAACGGATCGACATCAACGCCTGAAGTGCCCTCGGGTGTACATTTAGTCACGGGGTAAGTTACCCAATGATTAATGGGTAAACGGAGATTTACCTCTAGCAAGGTTGATTGGAATAGCGTCGGCCGGTTGCAGGTAAAGTGAAGTGTAACACGTTTTAAAGCAGGGCACTGATGATTATAAAAGTCACATGATAATTTGAAGCACCTTGCTTTCATAGGTTCGCACGCACTACTCTGAACGCGGTACACAAAAGTAGGATGGAAATACACAAGAAAATTTCTGACAGGAGAAGCAGTAGCATCAAGTTTGGGGTTTTGGAAGGCCGTATTTTCTTTGAAATGCTATGATCAGGTTTTTGAAAGCCGTATTTTCTTTGAAAGAGCTATGATCAGAGCGAACGGACAAGTGTTCGATCCTGTGAGGCACTGATGACATTGTCATACCGCGTTATCCCATCGTTTCACATGTTTTGCCTGAATAAACCATCGATTAAAAAAGCCTAAAGTTTTTCGAAACGTTCACGTTATTGACGAAATGACACAAATCGATTTGAGCTTGCGTGCAGTTAACCTGTAAAATATTGTGTGTGGTCTTTCTTTTTAATAATACGGTAGAAAACCGTCCATGGTTTTCCCGGTACACGTCAAACTAACTGGAAGTTATCTTACAACAAAAGAGCGGGATCGTTTTCCAAACGAGGCCCCCGATTAGCGCTGTAGAACTAGCCGTAATCGGTTTATGAATAATAGTTGCATGTCCAAAAACAGTCTTTACTCGTAGTTGGGGCGAGTCCCTAGTTGCTAGTTTTTGCACGCGAGGACATTCGCGTCCATGATGAATGAATTCATTCACAAAGTTCCAACCAAAATGTAGGTTACTGCTATATGATTATAAGGTGCTCAACTTTCGACCAAACGATATTGATTCCCTCCAAATGATCACGGTACAGCAGAGTACATCTGACGAACTAAGCGAGTAACGCAGGAAACAGAAAAATACCAAAACGGCTGGCATTAACCACAGAAGATGATGTAAATGGTATACGGTTCAGGCTGAAAGTTTTCACAGCAGGATATAGATAACCGGGCGTAAGGCACGTGATCTGGAAGTATAGGAGTAATTGGACCGTGGAGAAATATCGCCCACACCATAGGCGGCTTACGTAATGACGTGAAATAATGTACTGATCGTTCGGGTGCAACCATTTTTCGACATAATGAATGCCCCTGGGGAGTAAGGATGAGCTGCGTCACGTTCCATTTTTTCTAAAAACTTCAGATTTAGTGCCTAGGATGTAGAACAGAAGGATAGCTACAACGACCTTTGGTTTAGCCAGAAATATCATCGACCCGATACGTTAGGCCCCAATCAAGAATGGAAGTCAGCCGACCCATAGTGAGTAGCTGAGGTGTTGTTCTGATCATATTCCCGCAAGTCACTACAGAATACCGGCTTTCCGAGCACGTTTACTAATTGCAGGTTACAAAACTTCGAACAGGCCGCTGGATGATGTATTTGATTCTTCCTCGTATAGAGGATATGTGTTCGGGGTTAATATCATTGATAAGTCAGAATGACAGCCCTACGTCAGTTTCCATCGTCACAGGTCCCCCCACACCCAAAAATACATTTAAAAAACAGTTCTAACATCTGTTCAGTAATGCCCAGTTGCAAAAGATTTGCATTTGGAGGGGTCAGCTTCGAGTCTTTGTAGATTCCTTGAAACCAACTGCTTATTCATCATCTACGCCTGTTTTCTCAGTAATAAAACTTAAAGGTAGTTTTTTGAAACGTCTGCATGTGAAATAGCATACACAACGAAACTAGTTATGTGCCCAGCGATGATTCAATCATGGCTGGTAAAAGTGGAGTAAGACATGTGCAGGTAGGGTGTGACGAACAGATTAGCAACAGGTGGGTGGATATGTTTTGCTGACAACTGGCACCTATTCAGGCTTCTCACATACATTCGGAACTGGTTTAGAATGAGACGACAAATCAAAACGCCGGTAGGATAATTGGTGCATACACCAGGTAAGTGGGGCTGACGTGGCAGGGCAGGCCTGCTTTCCGGGTCAGTCGTGAATGTTCGCACACTGTGCGCAATGCACACAGCAGAACGACCCCGTTGTAGCCGACGCCGCTGAAACCAAATCGTGTACGCATCATCACCACCGAAACACGAAGGGCACTAGTGGAACACGGAAAGTAACTTTATCTAAAATTGGGTTCATCAAACAGGTTAAACCGTTGTTTAGTGCTCCATGCAACGATAGCAATACCAGAACTGGGCCAGTCGGGGATACAATAATAGAGAGAAATTTTTACAAGACTCTGAGGAAAGATATAAAAAAGCGTGTTAGATAATTAGAATGACCGCTGATATAAACATAATAGGGTGAGCAGTGGAGTGAGTTCAAGTCGAACAATAAATTGGATCTAGGGGAAGACCCATGATTCCCGCAATCCATTCTTAACATTAAAACTATGGAGGACCACTGCACGCGAAATCAGTCGATCAGAACGGTGATCGTTTCGAACAATGCGATCGGAGTTTTCTCCACCAATTTGATCAGGAGCACTGACCGACCCAATACAACTGGATTTTGAGTACCAGAACAACTTACCACATATTCAAACACCAGGGTCAGGGACTTCTCCGTGTGAATGATGTCGTGAAGCGTCACAATATTGGCATGTTGAAGATTACGCAGTAAGCTGACTTCTCGGATCGCTGTGCATGGAGCCCCTTCCTCATGTTCTAATCGTATTTCCTTCAAGGCGACCAAAGTTTCTGTCAGAAGACTGCGGCCTTTATAGACGGTGGCGTAGGTACCCTAACAGAAAGCGAAAACAGTTTATTTGAAGAGAAATTCCAATCCCGGTAAGATAAGCTGCAGTAGACCATCTTACAAGTAGTAGATTTATGGGGACGTAATAGTCTTACAGAAACACACGTCCTATTGACAAGGAAAAATACGACTGAATAGCATGAGTTTTTTCACCCAGCACTACTGAGTTGGGAAAACGGGGCAAATTATGAGTGGAATGTGCAGGGAATCAAACAACCAATCTCAAACAGTACAGTTTGAATCAGCATTGGTCAGAAAGAAGGTCACTGCGTCTTTACCGGGTCTCAGGGAACGTTGGAACCAATCGCAGTTGATTCACGATCGAATAATGGATAAATCACCTAGCTCAACTGGTCGCCCACAACATACACAAACTGATATTCGTACACAGAGGAAGCTACTCAAAAAGTTCTCTTTGACAGTCTACGATCAGTTTCACCATTCTTGGGGCTTACCCGGTAGGTGAAGTCACCGAGTTGACCTCAATCTTATGTTTTAGTTGAACCCAAATCCGACAGTTACACTCATTTACATGCCCATTTGGTTTCCACGGGAGACTCACCTCAATACCTGCTGAATCACTCGTTCATGGTGATTCGCTTCGATTACTCACTTGAAGCGGATCATCATAAGCGGGAGATTCAGCTGAATTCATTTGAGTCTCCTGTCAAAAACAAATTCGATTGCGAGTGGAAGTACTTATCGAAATCAGTCCAGTTTGTCTTCAGACAGAACACAAGGTTGACGGAAACTCTGGAACTACGCCTAGCTCCAAGAAGGGCTCGACCAGTCGTGGGCTGTTGAAGAGTTTTCGGCAACCTTATGAATAGTGTGTTATAGCTAGACAATAACGTATTGCGATATATCGAATATCGTACCAACTGAGACATTGGGCGACCTTTGTGCAGCACGTTCAGGTGCAGAATCAATTACTATTCGTGTATTGTCCGAAAGCGCAATAGGGACCCGGCAGACATTCATCTGATAACAAATGTATCTGGCAGATGTAGTAGCCAGGGCATGAAACTTTCACTCTTGAAGAAAATTGCATTCAAGACACACTGAAAATATGAGATTCAATACCCATCCCTCAAATAAGTGATTCATCAGTATCGTTTTCATATTAGAAAATTCAAAATGGCGAAATGCACTCATTTGCAAATTAATTTGGCGTTAACGGGGGATTTAGGTGAACAAATAAGTACATTTTGCTAGGTGCTCACAGTTTGGTGTTCAATTAGAACATAAGATTGACGGGAAGCTGGGGATTGCGCCTACTGATGAGCCCCAAGAAGAGCAAAACCTGTGGCAGACTGTCGAAGCGGACTTAGCAACCTTACAATCAGTGTGTTGTGTTACGAACAAGCTAAAATGTGCTACAAACGATAAAGCAAGGTGCACGTCATCGGCTGGATAACTAGGACAACGCAACGAATTGATTGGAACGCGAGCTTAGTGTGTGGACTCAAACGAATTAAAAGGTCAGATTTCTTCACCCGATATTTTTCAGCATCTCGACACTACAAATGGTCCTGCCGATAGCTAACTACTTGCAATTACGCACGTCAGACAGACAACTGTCATTAACTACAACAACAGACAAAGATTGCCAATTTCCGCGAGGAAGAAACTGCCAATGGCTCTTAGTAAAAGTAACGCGCACCAGAAAACACGGAAAAGCTTTTTAATTAACTAACACATCAATAAGATGAGAGGAACAACTTGCATTGGACTTGGTTGTGTTCAGTTACAAGCGTTATTGGCTAGGAAACAGAGTTTTCGAGGAGAAATGGAGTGGAAGGGCGGATAAATGAGTAACCCCCGTGCATACATGCATGCTTCCACCACTTTTGGAATTTGGGTACGATGGATTCCAGCTTGTCGAACCGAGGTGAATCCCCCGAATAAGGATAAACTCGTCTGTCAGTCGAGTGTAACAGAAATCGGATCACTGTCTACTGGATTGTGTACAGAGTCAGCGGTGTGTAAAACGACAACAACAAAAGACAGACAGACACCGTGCCATTCGATGAGACGAACTGCCTCAGCCGGCGTTGGAACCTACGCGCAACCGGTCAGACGCTCTGGAGGAGGGAGAAGAGAACATAAAGGGCACGCCGAATGGCCCCACCACCATAAACCGGTAGCGATAGATGGTTTCACAACAAAGACGACATTAGCATTAACCTTGACCGTACTAATACGACCACGGTCACCATGAAAGCACAGTGCTGCTTGCCCCATTCACCCAACGAACCAAGAATGGTCGAATGACTGTTTGAAAAACAGTTCTGCCACAAACGGTGACAAACGAAGCAGGAAAGATATCTTTACGAGATCAGTTGAGAATTCACCCGGAACAGGTCGTGTATAAACCCAGCATGCTATTTCTGTGTTTGATGCAAGAAAGCGGTTCATGAACCATGGTGTGCTCTATGTCTGTGCTGCTGAGCAATTCGTTAGTCCGTTACGTGCTCATGTAAGTTGCGTACATGGGCATACTAATGAGATGCCTCAGGAGCGAGTATGTAGACGTAATGCGGCCCGAATGGGTCGCACAAAAACACAAAGGAAGTTATCCGCTTGTATTGAGGCTTTGTTTGAAGACGAGAATGTTAATCGAGACAGGTGAACACGGTCTGGTTGGGCTAACCTAAGGCTGCACTGCAAGCCGCACATAATTAAAAAATATGGGTGGTCGCTTCCCCTCTCCGCTGCTGATTAACAAGATTGCCCATCCGTGTTGGTATTTTTCTCCTCCTTCATTTATTTATACATAAGGAACACGTCAATCCCTGATTTCCCCTTCACTGTGAACACGCTGTTGATATAGCGAGTGGCTGCGGCAGTTCCCTTACTTGAGCAAAGTTGAAGTTACAGGCTGTATCGGATGATGTTGTTAGCTTGTCTGACGAGTGTTCCGATACCGTCATTGTCCAAGAATAGCAAGACGTTATCTTTTCCCCCACCTGGATCAAACTGACAATAATCTCCCCAGTAGTCATTATTCTCATACTGCTTTCAGTGTCCCTCTGTTCAAACTTCTGCCGTGAAATACCTGGGTGTGAGCCTATGAAGTAACCATAACTGATCCCCTCATATCCAAAGAGTCTTTAGCAGAGACCGATGTCCGACAGTTTATGTTGCGGTATCACTGTAAGCTTTTACGCTGAAAGTTCTCTGCACGTGCATAAATCTTGACAAGTCTACTTTCAAAGTTGGTGGAATGCAAAAGCCGTTAAACTACGTCAGTCAATGACTGTGTATCACGTTGACATTCTTTGGAAGTGACATAGATGGGTCGGAGCTTTCCAACAACGGTATGGTCACGGTGATTGTATCAAGTATGGTCGACCTAAACCGACACAATTCTGATTTCTTCGGTTCGTGCGAGGATTGACAGTCTTGCCCCGGACCGGGTTGGAAGGCTACTGTTTATTGGTGGACAGTACAGTTCAGACGGCTATGGAACAGTTTACGTGATCAAATGAGCAACATATGATTAGAATAAGGCACTTCCGTGGGACGTGCGTGACGGGCTACGTGACGCAAACACGATCATTGTGGTGACGCGGAAGGGCAGACCAAAGTCAGACTTTATGGCTTAGATGGCGTGGTGAATCGGAACCACGACATAGATCTTCCAATATGTCTCCACTGAGTCAACCTACCCATGAATCAATCAGAATGCTAATATCAGCGGAGTGGACTGTCATGTGAATCGATGACCTCATTCCTGTAACGAATACGGCAGGTTGTTTGTGACGAGTGGATCGTCAAACATAGACACACGTCCACAGATGGGTAAAGTGATGTGAATCTTTGTGTGCAGGTAGTGTAAGTTCAACTTTGGCTATGCTCTTTTAGTTGTGATAATCAGCGAATTATCACTGAACAATTCAAATGGAATTTGACAGTGAAATACCTAAGTTGGTAGCGCGAAAAAGAACAGTGCACCCACAACAGAGCAACACTTTACCAAGCTGAACAACTTTCTCCAACTCCAAAATTCTGAAGATGTATGCACCTAGAAGAAAACCATGGCTGACTTACCTGTCCAAGCATGTCCAGTTTGGCATAAGATTCTGATTTACCAAAGCCGATCTCCGACTTGAAAAAAAAACGGGAGTAATAGAGAAGATAAGTGATCAACCACAAAGAAGTTGCTACGTGTGCAAGATAAAACGCAGCTGAACACAGATGTTCAGCTAGGAGACGTTGCCGAAGAAATACCCTTCCACTGGAGTGCACAAAACGAACGTTACCCGTTAGCCATAGCCTGCTACACGATATAAGTGAGAGATGCCGACTATCTCCTTGCCCCATGGTGGTCCCTGTTGGGAGAAGATTCTGTGTAGATGGAACTTCAAACCCAACAATGAAAATCTAGATGTGGCCAACTGATGTGATAAAATAAACAACAATGTTTAAGCCGTAACACCCCTTCCGTGCATAGCTGCCATGCTAACCCAAAAGGGCACGATGGTACAGATAATGTCAGGTTGGGTTAAGAAAGTGGACCTTCTAGTCAATATTTTCGCGCCTTAAATCACTGGGTTATCCGAACCAACCAGTGTGTTGCAAGGTAGACCACTGCTTTTGGGGGATGTTGCGTGAGCTATGTGGGTGGACCACAAATGGCTACCCAGCTTGTGCGCCGCCTCCCGACAGTTACCAACGGACAGTTTAGCTACCAGGCAATTTGAGATGTTGCTTACTTATACACTACTGTGGGGAAGGCTGATTCGATTTCAATGAGGCTGTGGACTAGCGTAGGCCATAAACCAGCGATGGTACGCAGTTCTGAACCCAATTTTGTAAGATGGCACCAGCTGTTCTTGAAAAGCAGTACTGCCAAGGTCAACTTAATGGTTGTTTTACCAGTTCTGGAGCTGACTAGTGAATGTGGCGATCTGAGTGGAGAAAATCATGGGTCCAACAAACGGCAGGGTAGCAGTGAAAATTAATTTCATCGCTACGCACTGATTTCCGATTTTACGAAGTTCCCTCGAGAGCTCAGTGGTTGGGCGAGAGCTGCTGACCCGCATTAGTTTTTCGATTGTTGCTGAGGGCTTGAGTGACCTGACACGGTTGCATGGCAGCTGTGTATCGAAAGCGGATCACAGCTGACCGACTCGATGTTTTGAGGCACTATTCCACAAACATGGATCGTTCACTCACAGTCCAAAGCTACCTGTCCCTCACAAAGAGGTCACGATCGTGGGAGGGGGAGGGTTCAACGAATTGCTCTTTATCAGTACAAACCTAGAGCGCGAACAGGAACAATGGAATACGCCTTTCCCTTTAGGTGATTACTGTACCCATCTAAACAAAATGAAGAGAAGAACAAATACAGCCCGTTAAGATTATGTTGATGAACATCCGACTTCATCTACAGCATTCGATGCGTGGGCAGAAAAGTATAAGATGTACGCGCATTCTGTTTCTACGAAATAGAAGCATGCCACATGGTAGCGTGTGTGAATTAGAAACGAGTGAAACTGTGCTGCGGTCGTTGGAATTACTCTGTAGCAAGTTGAACCAACAAAGAAAAGTTGTGCTGAATTGTTAACGAGGCAGAAAAAACTGAACGACGTAGCGAATTACAATCTGGCGCAGTGTTTGGTGCTTTGTTTACACCCGACCTAAAGCTACCACCTTGAAGTGGTGGTCGGGATTGGGTGCTGTAGCGATTCCGCAGGCCACACTAGCTGGAACATCGTTCCACAAGGTGCAACTATGTCAGGAAGGCCAAAAGGAAACAGTGAGACCAAGAACAACTAGACCTCGTATTACGAATAATCGTGATACGATGCGGTCTAAGGGTAAAGTCCAACTGTCTCACCTATCGGAGTATGAAGGCAGTTAGGTGTTTACCCTAGGCGATCAGCAGGTTCGTACTCAGGAAAGCAGCGATGGTACCTTTCCCTGATGAAGGACGGGCTAGAAAGGGTCAGCCATAAAAACCACACGATCCAATCACCCAAAGGGTGACCACGACCGCCGACGTATTATTGAATTAGGTCGAAATAATTTTAAGCCCAAAGAGTCTGGCGCTACTAAAAAGGCACCTGTTATGGGTAGCCACATCAAAAGTCAGACAGTAATGTTTTGCTCCCTGTGCCCTCAGGTGAAGCCAGCCTCATGTAGCCAAGTAAGCCATACTAATGAATCATCGGCTCCCGAGAGGGTCCCCAGGGAAAACTCTAATGCCCGCTGCTTTTCAGTCAAAGGCTCAAGGTGGAGTACCTCAAGCAAAACTCCGTCTCCGTCCTGGGCAATCGGGAAGTATCATTTGCCCGCACAGTTCTGTGTCCACTAGTGCCCACCCTAACGCCTTTCCACCACACCAGCAAACGTTGCCGGGCCATTTGATTATCAGTTATCTGACCGATATGCCTCATGCTTCTCACTGCTTATTAATAACAAACAAAATAACACTGCTAAATCCACAACATCCTTCCTATATAGGAGCTTCCGAAGTACGTACTGTGTCAAGTGGGCAAATAGGCAATGCTCGCTGAAACCTTATACTCCCTTAAAATTGATGTATACTGTCTCTGGAACATGCACAGAAGACCCAAGTGTGGTCATGATTCTCACATTTCAGTCTCTGTATCCGATGATCCAGAAGCGACGACTAATGGAATATATGGCGTGGGAGATGCACTCAGTCCAAGAGCCGAACGCGTTTTGGTGAATTGGGTTCTAGTGTATAGTCGCCTTTACGCCGTCCGGTTATACAGCTCAATCAAGCTCAATGACTCCCGGCATAAAAAGAGGTGCATGTTTGTAATGTCGACCTATGCCCAAACGGACTGCAGTTCTCATGCTGAGAAGGATGCTTTCTATCGAGAGTTATCCGGGCTATTTCGTCAAGCAGGAAGCACTGACATTTGATTCCTGCGGGCAATATGAGAATGCCCGGGTCGGTCGCCTGAGCTCCTGGGAATCACATCCGGATGGTCGATTCGGAGTCGAGGCATGTCTCATGGAAAACGGACAGCGACTCCTTCAGTTGTGTGTCGATCGTCAACTGTTTCTGGCCAGTAAGAACTTTCAGCATAAACGTTTGCATCGCGTAACCTGGCCGCCACCAACTGCAAATTAACTGTGGACCCAGTTGGATCACGTGGCCATCAGCCACCGGTGGAGAGCCACGGTTCAAGACGTCCGATCTTTCTGGGTCACAACTTGATTCCGATCACGTCTGACACTACGCTTCTCTTGAGGCCATCGCAAGTCAGTAAGAAACAAGCTAATCCACCATCTTCAGAGAACTGCCATGGCTCAACAGTATTGATCTGAGCTAGCTCAACTATTCTCTACAGTAAACCAACACTGTCCTGGTAGTGAGCGCGTGGATGAAGCATGGCTAAATGTGGAAGGAACTAGGCTGGCGGCGTCGAGTGCTCTCTGCCCGACTTCTCCGACACGATAAAATGACCACTGAATATCGTAATGATCGCTAGCACTGACTGAAGCCAGGAAGTCCATATCAAGAGGCAACGAGTACGACAACGCACGGAAATCCCTCAAACACCAAATAGTGAAGAGCTTAAGGAAAGACCGAGGGCTTTGATTGACATCGAGAGCCCAGGAGATAAGAAGACTTTTGTTACTGATCGACTGGCCCTAGGGAAGCAGCGATCAGTGAGACGATAAACTAAAAAAGGCGGCTTATCAACCCACTCGAAAAAAGATGGGCCGAACACTGAAGAACAGTTTAGCTGGTCCTCTGCAACACAGCCTGCGGAGATAGTGCATTTGGGCGAATGGAATGCAACCCTTCAGAGGAAAAAAATAAGCTACGAAATCTCCGTACTGAAACGTGAGAAGGCACCAGGACCAGACGGTCTGTATCCAATCCTGATAAAAGAAGCCATATAATTCCTGATGGCTCATCTAACAAACCTCATTGGTACGATATGGGGCGAGGATAAAGTGCCTGCAGAATGGGACATGTCGACAGTTATTCCTATCTTCAAAGGGGGCACACGGACGCTGTGTGGAAACCACCGTGGCAATAGCCTAGTGGCTGTGGCATCGAAGGTGCTCTGTGATCTTATCCTTCGAAGGGAGAGACATCCGTGAAAATCAAGCTGGGTTCCATCCTGCAAGAGGATGCATCGATCACATTTTCATCCTTCGACAGATTCTGAAAGAGTGACACTGTTTCCACGCCCAATAATGGTTGTCTTCCTCGAATTGAGAGTTGCTTTTGACTCTGTGGACCGTCAGGCACTATAGTAGTGCCTGTGGAGCAATGGTGCCATTCATAGATTCATGACCCTCCTTAAGACGCTTTACGTCAACTCCCGCGGCCGTGTGGAAATCTACAGGAATCCCTTGCCTGAGTTCATCACAGGTGGTGTCAGGCAAGCCTGTCCGCCTTCACCTTTTCTCTTCAAATTCGTCATTGATATGATTATAGAAGACTCACTACCAAACGCTAATGACTGTGGGGTCGAAAGGCCTCAGGGGCGTTTCTTCATAGATATCGAGTACGCAGGCGATAAAACTCGTCTTGGATCTGACGCTTTTGTAATGCAAAAAAACATTAGATAATCCAAATAATTCTAAATTCTATAGTACTGCAAGACTGATTGGGCTCGAACTCTAACCTCATGCTTGCGGATGAACCGATTGAGGTAGTAGACAGGTTTATCTACCTGGGTGGCTATATCAGTCCCGGTGGTCTCGCAAACGATGATATTTCCATCCGAATTGAAAGGCCAGAGCAGTTTTTTTGAATCTTCATCACTTGTGGCGTAGGCGTGACGTCACCTAATCCATCAAGGGTTCCGTTTACAATGCTGCAGTGAGCTCCAGAGTGTTATACGGGTCAGAAGCCTGACTAGTGAGCGCCGAAGACATGGAAAAAAAACTTTCACTGTTTGACCATCGCTGTCTTCCAATCACCGCCCGAGTCTAATGGGAACACCGGATCAATAATGCTGAATTACGTCGAATGGTTTTCGGAAAAGATAACTCGCCAACGATAGATGAACTGATCACACTACATAGGTTCGGCTAGCTTGGCCACGTGCTCCGTATGCCTGTCGACCGATTTCCTCGGCAACCCTTTTCGCACAGTCACGCGACGGTTGAAATGATCCAGGGGAGGCCGAAGAATGACTTGAAAGCGAAGCGTGAAAGCCATCACCAGCAAGCTCAGCGGCGCTGAGTTACCGTCCCTCTGGATGGAGAACCCAAAACAGAACACAGCAACGGTTGGAGACAGTGTAAAACATGGCTCAGCCGCGCCCTCAATGGCACCCATTCATCCAAGCTATTGCTTTCAGCACATGGCTCCCCTCCGATCCCTCAAAGAAAAGGTCCACTGACAACCTTGCATTTACACACCAATTATACCAACTACCGCTACCACTGCGTGGCCATTTACCCCATCTCCCCAATCATCGGCGAACGAAACTGTGGCAGTTATAACTATTGTACGGCAAGTACGCAGTTTTTACAGCTGATGGTGGATTTGCTTACAGATCTATTATCACGCCTGTTACAGTACGAGGAAGACAGTTTAATCGATGAAGCTAAGTATTCTACAGGCAATATCAGTCAAGGAAAAGTACATGATGATTCAACATTGAAGCGGACGTTAAGCACATTAGTGAACCGTCTGGAGAACGGAATTACATTTAAATCTATCCACGGAGGTACTGAAAGGACTGCTTCAGTGGTTAGTCAGAGCAATGAAGGCTATCCAAAGTTCGTCCACGCTATGACACTTACGTTCACTACCCTGCTAATCAGGTAGAACAGGACAAAAAGTCGACGTCCGAACGTTGTGCTCACTAGTGTCCGGATTAATCCATGATTAGTGAGAAATCGAACTAAGTGGGAAAACAAAAGCAGCCACTTCGGAAGTTTCGGAATCCTAAGATGACTGAAATTGAACTTAGGCAGTATTTTCAGACGTTGGAATCATGAATATGGTACAGTAGACTGAAGCATACGCATCCTCTCATTTTGAGTTATACACACACTGAACCGCGTGAGCAGCATAGAAATCTTGTGATTAACCTTTCCAAGAGACTTGCTACACCGGAGAAGAAAATGCAACTTCGGCATATGGTTTGGTCGATGGAGTATCAAGGTGTATTGGTAACCATACACCCGCTTACCTATAAGAAGTGTGTATGAAAGTGTGCATACACACAAGTAGCCGGGCAGATCACTGGGATCCATAGTTCCGAATCGAAAAAACATGAAGGCTACTCGCCGCCAGATTCACAAAACGAATAGAACGGAGGACGACTACAACGGACACGGACCATTACCTCAAGCGACAGGATTCACTCATTTGTCGACGTGCGTAGAAAGAACTACCTGTCTGTCGTCAAATGAGACGATAAGCTGGCAGACTTGATACACAAAGGGGAAGAGACAAACAACGAAAAAATCCACATCGGTTGGGTGAAATCGATGCAAGTTCTTTGTCTATCCAATTAAGGGTGAAACCAAAGAAGCGCCCGTAGTCATATACCACTGGTGTTCGCATGAATGAATACAAAGGAAAGCCACATATAACAGTATTGGCACTACATATTGGACAGAGCATAGGAGAGTTAAACTAGTGGTATTCACGAGAAGTCTTCTGGACATCAGGTAACGCCCAGTGACAGCCATACTGATGGCAGGACGCTCAGTTTAGATGTGTATCCAACGTTACTCGTCACCTATTGTAGATGAATGCGTTCGTGCAGTTGAAAACCGGGTGGCGGATACACAGTTCACCTCTGCTGCTTAGGTTCATCCGAGAAACTAGGAAATTTGAAATAATTCATCTGCTTGCAAAGACTGAAGTCTAATCATACCAAAATTACCACTGGTGTTCGCATGAATGAATACAAAGGAAAGCCACATATAACAGTATTGGCACTACATATTGGACAGAGCATAGGAGAGTTAAACTAGTGGTATTCACGAGAAGTCTTCTGGACATCAGGTAACGCCCAGTGACAGCCATACTGATGGCAGGACGCTCAGTTTAGATGTGTATCCAACGTTACTCGTCACCTATTGTAGATGAATGCGTTCGTGCAGTTGAAAACCGGGTGGCGGATACACAGTTCACCTCTGCTGCTTAGGTTCATCCGAGAAACTAGGAAATTTGAAATAATTCATCTGCTTGCAAAGACTGAAGTCTAATCATACCAAAATTGGTATTTAGTGGGTGGTTTGAAAAAAAACCTATAATTATTATCAACGTAATTGGCTGCTTATTCCCCAGGTACTTCGGAATAGCGGTAGTAATGGGGCATGACGTAACACAAGCGCACTACATCCGTACATTAGATAGCAACATCAACTTCCGGGCGTCTTCAGCGCTGCCTGCTCTCTTCATCACTGGGACAAATTTTACTTTCCTGATTACTGCTTCTACCGATACTTTCGTTTTAGAGATGTGGCTTATGTTTGCACTCAGTCCCCCTCCCTTTCTACAACTCTCGCTCTCTCTCTCGTGCGCGCACGCAAGCCTGTTGTTCACCTCATTTTCAGAATTTACCGTTGCATCCCACGATCCCACTTTCAGTGCGAAATGATTGCATTCTGATCGCCTGACTTTCCCATCGTATATGGACGCACTCGGCCGTGAGGTATGACCTTTGCAACCATTTCTCCAACTTTTCTTTAGCCGAGCTTTTCCAATTCCTAATGGGAAGCCTGTTCTTCAGGTTTACCGGGGAAGAGTATTGGAAACTCACACGGGATAGGAGCATGATCTAAATCCACTTGCGTATCCTGGAGTGAGTGGCGGTCATCAATTGATCCCCTGTAGCTGGTCGCTATATAATCAGCTGGGCTCCATAATCGCTTAGCCATGTGGTGGTGGGGGGCTCATCATCATCATTGTCAGCTGTAAGAACCACGTACTTGTCGTTCAGTGGTTGTAGCTGTCACAGTTTCATTCACCGATGATTTGAGGGGGGGGGGGAGGTAGCTGTGCATTGAAGGCGGGAGATGATAAATTGGTGCATAAATCCAACACTGTCAGTGAACTGTCAAGTGGGGTTGGGCATTGGGAAAGGGGGTATGCATTGAAGGCAATAGCTTGGATGCATGAGCGCGACTGGGACATATCTGACAATGTCTCTAACCATTGATTTGGTCCATCTAAGGGTACCCACCCAAGGAGACGGCAATGACCAGCGCAGCTGAGTTTGCTGGTAATGGCTTTCATGCTTCGCTGTCAGGTCATTGTTTAACCGCCTCTGGATCGTTTCCACCCTTCACGTTGTTGTGCGAAAAGAACCCTTCGAACAAGTCCGTCAAATGGCATACGCAGCACGTGGCCAAGCCAGTGCAACTTATGCAGAGTGAGCAGTTCATCTATCGAGGGTGTTATTTGTTCAGAATACCGTTCGGCGTACTTCAGCATTGCTTACCCGGTGTTCCCATCAGACTCGGGCAATGAAACACTGAAAGTCTTTTGACGTCTTCGGCGCGCCAAAGAGCACCTCAGATGCCACAGTTAACAAAACGGCGACTGTTGCGTCTGAACCGAGCGCTTCAGAGAAATAAGTGGCATTCGGTACAAAGTTGCCAAAGAAGCCCATGACTAACATAACGCTCTACGTCTAAACAAAATATGCAGCTGTAACGCGCCTTCGACCAGCTGAGATTTACTGCCTGGGTGCTGCAGCCTACAGCTAATGCGACTATATCTGAACTCTCCATGATGAACAACTTTCCAGAAATCCATAGACATCTCAGAGGAAGAATGAAATTCGCCTAAGGAATGGAACTTCCATCGGAGAGGTCATTGCTTGAGGAGGTGGATTTCGTGACTGAAGGATGAACGGCACTATATCCTACCTAAGTGCGAGTTAACCATAATGTTGATCAGTCGCTCGTGACCAAACGAATAAGTGATTAAACTGTTAAACTGGAGGCTGCGGATTCGAAACTACCTGAAGCCTCGTGAGATGCACACTGCTGATGACTCCTAATAAGGATGAAACAGCTGTACAGCACATCGCGTTTTTGGCTTAATTTACAAGACGTAATTTCATATAAAATTTTCGATAGGTGTCCCACGCCGACTTAGGGCTACAGATGGTTGGCATATAGGTTGTCAACATAAACAGAGGTCGGCTAGTTTTTCGACCAGGGCGAGTCCTCATGGGGGTGGAAAGCCGGACGTCACAGAGTTAGCTGTAGCCTCAGTTCAAAATAACGAAGTCTATACTAACAGCGACGCAGCTCACAGCAGCAAACCGACAGTTGTCTGGGGTTCGTAATCAGCCGGAGATTTCGGATATCCGGAGTCCGTTCGTGAAGCTCATAGTTCCAAAACATAAGACACCTAAGTTTATTGGTATGTTTTCATACCACTATTCGATCGTACATGTGAGGTTCAACTGAGTGGCACGGCCAGAAAACACAAAATCCCGGGTTGGAATGATCAAATGGAGCGTATACATAGACTCGGTGTGACAGTCGACTGTAGGTTAAATGTAAGCGTATTTTGGCTTAGTTGGGCTACAACGGACCATCAGTGAGGATGTTTGGCAAGGTAACTGCCCAAATGTCACTCGGGATTCCTGCGCAACGTAATAGAGCACAAAAAATAAAACTAATTATGGGGCTTATTAAACAAAAACTCACCAGTGAACAGCGTCTTTCACGTCGGGACATTGGCTCCTCTAAGAACTGGGTTGCTCGACGCCATAAATGTGGTGGTAGATTAATGTTGGCTGGCAATGACAGTCGATTGGATACACGACTGGAGAACGCATCCGTGCCATCTTTGCTTTGGAGGAACCGGTTCACTACTGGTTCCTGACCCAAGCGCCGCAGACGGTTTCTTGCATCTACAGGACGACGTCGTACCTCAGCCAGTCCAGCAACCAACTCGGCAGCTGATGTTCCGATTTCATCAGAAACCTGGGCGACAGCGGCTGCCAGCTTCGGATCCAGGTGACTAGGGAAGTTTGTACATACGGAAGATGAGTTGGGGTCGGTCGGCGCTGGTCGGTTTGGTTGATAATCATCCGTTTCCAGTTCTTCTTCCTGAATTGTGGTTCCGGCAACCATTCGTGAGGCAGGCTGCTGCATTATGGCACTCCCGTTCCAACTTGGAGAGGAGAACGAATGTGGGACGGGACGCGAAGAGAGCCGAGTGGGAGAAACAGTGTGGGATTGTGTGAGACTAGAAAGCGCAATTCGGTGGTCACTTTGTGGTAAGGGATCGGAACTAGAGGTAACCACCGGCTGTTGTTGAATAGGTTTCCCGTCGATCGGAAAATTATCATACAGTTCATAACCATTATCGAAATAATCCTCATGTGGTCGTATATTTGTGTCAATTTGAATATCAGCTAATTGTGCAGAAAGACATCGTTTGCCAGAATTAGTTGGAACTCCACCATTTTTCGAAACAAAATACGAATGTTCTTCAATCGGATTTTGATTATTGGATAAAATTTTCGCATTAAAATTTCCGTTGCTTCCGTTTGTTTGGCATGCAATATCGGGACCAGTAACTTTTTGGGGAGCAGAGATGACCGATGTGGAACTATGTGCTTGAGCACTGCTGGGTCGGGTTATGGCTACTTTCGTGGGTTTTCGTAGTTCATCCGATTTGAGTAATTTTTCTTCCTCATCTTCTGTCCGTGAATCTTTATTCATAGAGGATGAAGAAGCTGGGGAAAGATAAGAAGTCGAAGAGCCACCGTGAATACCTTCACTCAGGGGGGAGCTAGGACAAGTTGAGACAGCAGAATTGCGGTTAGGGTTTGGGAAGTTTGGGCTACCACAGCCGTTCGAATTGGTCGTGGGCGGTTTTGGTGAATCGGGATTTTTTTCGGTTGGAATCACGGTTCTGTTAGGTAGGGTTTGTGGTTGCGATACGATGGGACTGGTGTGAATTCGATTGACTCCGCCAACGGCCTTGTTGGAAGCTGAATTGGAGAATGGAATTTCCAGAGGGTCTTGCGGCATAAATGGAACGTATTGCGGTTTGGGTGATTGTACATACGGAAGATGAGTTGGGGTCGGTCGGCGCTGGTCGGTTTGGTTGATAATCATCCGTTTCCAGTTCTTCTTCCTGAATTGTGGTTCCGGCAACCATTCGTGAGGCAGGCTGCTGCATTATGGCACTCCCGTTCCAACTTGGAGAGGAGAACGAATGTGGGACGGGACGCGAAGAGAGCCGAGTGGGAGAAACAGTGTGGGATTGTGTGAGACTAGAAAGCGCAATTCGGTGGTCACTTTGTGGTAAGGGATCGGAACTAGAGGTAACCACCGGCTGTTGTTGAATAGGTTTCCCGTCGATCGGAAAATTATCATACAGTTCATAACCATTATCGAAATAATCCTCATGTGGTCGTATATTTGTGTCAATTTGAATATCAGCTAATTGTGCAGAAAGACATCGTTTGCCAGAATTAGTTGGAACTCCACCATTTTTCGAAACAAAATACGAATGTTCTTCAATCGGATTTTGATTATTGGATAAAATTTTCGCATTAAAATTTCCGTTGCTTCCGTTTGTTTGGCATGCAATATCGGGACCAGTAACTTTTTGGGGAGCAGAGATGACCGATGTGGAACTATGTGCTTGAGCACTGCTGGGTCGGGTTATGGCTACTTTCGTGGGTTTTCGTAGTTCATCCGATTTGAGTAATTTTTCTTCCTCATCTTCTGTCCGTGAATCTTTATTCATAGAGGATGAAGAAGCTGGGGAAAGATAAGAAGTCGAAGAGCCACCGTGAATACCTTCACTCAGGGGGGAGCTAGGACAAGTTGAGACAGCAGAATTGCGGTTAGGGTTTGGGAAGTTTGGGCTACCACAGCCGTTCGAATTGGTCGTGGGCGGTTTTGGTGAATCGGGATTTTTTTCGGTTGGAATCACGGTTCTGTTAGGTAGGGTTTGTGGTTGCGATACGATGGGACTGGTGTGAATTCGATTGACTCCGCCAACGGCCTTGTTGGAAGCTGAATTGGAGAATGGAATTTCCAGAGGGTCTTGCGGCATAAATGGAACGTATTGCGGTTTGGGTGATCCGGAAAGGCGAAGTTTTTCTAAAAAAACAATGAACACGTAGATATGGTAACAGTGTGTGCACACATTAGAAGAGCGTTATCAGTGCACACTCCATTTGGATGTATAGCCAACGTCTTCTGAGGTAAACGCCAAAGTGCTGGTAGCTAACTAATTGGCAGTAAACGGTCAGAAGAATTCAGTATGAAGTCACCATTAGCCGATAAGCCAAGTGATTCTACTTCACACAGGGTGATGCTTTTTCGCAGTCTCTTTAGACAGAACGTTTGGTAGTGCCAATTTATACAAACAGTGTATGGTATAGACAGTTTTCACCACTCGCATTGCCCAAATATGACTCGAACAAGGTCTGAGCGGATCACAACACCCTGATTATTCAACTGATCAGTTGGGAAAGAAAACGGCCCCAAGAGCAATGACAAATTCCCCAATGTAATTATAATCTACACCAAGACTGAAGACGAATCAGCTAAGAGAGGGGAGGGGGCGGTGCGCGAATGCTACTGCGATTGTCTGTTTTTTATTCTTATTTTCTGTGATCAAGTTCGGCCCGAGGCATAAGTTTTCAACAGGTTATCTGCTCACCGAGTTTGTGATCAATCCTATAACCTCTGCAAGACGACTGTCGCCCGGTCAATAGACAACATGGATTTGATACACAGAACACCCAACTGCGCGTCTAGAGCGTGCAAGGCACCATTAAGGATGCTTAGGTGATAACCATAACTATGCCTGATCGTCATAGATAGAGGTAGCTATGCACCCAAGTCTAGATCGCACTGTCCTCAACACCGATTAGCATTCGCTGATGCGTTATGCTCTCGAAGTGAGTAAATCAATAGTTGGACGGTATGCAAGCACTCAAAACCGTTGGTAGAGGAGAAAGTGTTTACGTACATAGAGATTCCGGGATAGAGAATGGGATGCATTCCAATGAAATTCGGGGATCACTTGCTTGGTAAGGCCCTCTGAGTAGATCCCCGAGAAAACCAGGGGTTTATCAAACTCCGTGCATAAATACAAACAGGACGCCGCTGCTTACTGTGGAAAAACCAAACAGGTGGTCCCCGAATACAAAAAGGATTTCCTGATTTGCATTCCAACGTTAGGCATATCGCACTACGCTACACACTGATATGAAGATAAACCCATTCAGAAATAGGTGAAGTATGGTGAAAAAGTCTGCACTCAACTAAAGACGCCCTTCCATGCCGAAATCGGACAGGGGGAGAGAAATCATGATGCAAAAAACTTCTTCACAATTTTAGTAGTCGACAAAAATGCGTCGCGTACCGCGAAACGACCTCGGTAATGTCTGACACCCTTCAAACAAGTGAAACAAAACTGTCCATAAATTCAGTACAGCTGTGTTTAAGCACACCGCAAAGCTGGATGCTGAATGAGACCAGAGAAGAACGAGGAAGACGAATAGCATTTCGCGGAATGTACATCAAACAGCGATTTTCATGTGTTTTTTATGCTACTCAGCTGTGTGACAAAAAAGGAATGCGACGAGAGCAGAAGAGAAAGAATGTCGGTTGGTGCAACGCTTACGAGGCCATTTGCTGAGTAACCACCGCAGATGTGTTAGCGTTCGAGCAACGATGATTAAACTGAAGATATCAACAAGAAATTCAGAGGAAACGTGGCCAGTAAAAAGGCGGTGGATCGACTTGGCTTAGGATGAAAAATTAGAAATTTACTGGTTTTCACACACTGGGTCAGAGGAGTAAAAGTTCTAATAAGGCTGGTAAATTTCAGAAATAATCAGAATAGGAAGTGGACAAGTCTCCTGAAAGCATCTCACATTTGTCCATCGGTAAGATGCTTAGAGCTCTCTTGGAAGCGACCCCGTACGGCAGAACGATTTTGATTGGTTCCATGAATGTTCTAATTGACAGCTTCCAGTGGACTAAAAGAAAGCCTAGTATGATATTTTTTAATCTAACACCACGAACAAGGTCGTTGGAAACGAAAACTCTTCGAGAGCGTAGATTATTTTTGTCTTTCTTGGGTCTCATCAAGTTGGCACAGTCACCGAGTTTCTCTCAATTTTATTCTTTACCTGAGTCTCAAATAATACACACGCGATCACTTGCGGAGGAGGTTATTATCAATCGAAGCCTCACGCGAACGCGATATTCAAGTAGAACATATAGTTGATGAGAAACCAGAGACTATGCCTATTTGATGAGCCCAAAGAATGTCGATTTTCGTGGTGGACTGTTGGAGAGCTTTCAGTAACCGTATGAGTAGCGGGTTGGTTCAAGAAAATATACTACGATATCCCGAGTATCGTGCCAACTGATACATCATACAAACTTTGTGCCGCACATTCAGTTGGAGAATAGCACAAACAAGGGATTAAGGTGCATCTCCTTAAGACCATGTCGATTTGCAAATGAGTGTACTTCGTCAAAGTCCAGCGTGATTAACGAACTTGAGAAAATAAGAATAACTGGTGAGTGAATAGATGGGTTGATGAAAACCATCAGGAAACTCGAATAGATGTCATATGTAAATGCTCAACCCCCCAGAAGTGCGTCTGTTCTGCCGGAAGCATTTGTTGTGAGAAAATGGTTTATTGGCTTATCTCCGTCGCATTAACCAACGGATTCATGACGAGCGAAAAACGAAATCCGCCAGGAATGGTGAACCAACCGACGCGAAAACATTAGACAGTCCAGTCTGATCGGCTGATTTGCAAATTAAAATATCCTTAAGCAGTTTTGTTCACTTTAATTCTAATTCAAAGACATGTAATTCGGAAACGCAAAAAAACAGTGTACCTCAAGGATGATGAGGTAGGAAACTAGAAGACATGAAGAAGGAGCTGATTTAACCCAATCAATTCATCGATTGTTGGCATCGATTAGCTGCACAGCTACCTCCCCCTCCCCTCCCCCCAAATCATCGGTGAACGAAACTGCAACAGCTACTACCACTGTACGACGAGTACGCGGTTATTACAGCTGACAATGATGATGATGATGATCGATTAGCTGCTTACTTTGTAGTACCGAACTCTAACCAGTGTACTGAAGACAGTTGAATTCGTGTTGTTCATTAGTGGTTCTTGATCATAAATGTCAGCATGTACCACTTGTTGAATTCAAAATTAATGAAGACAAAGGTCTTAACAAGGTGAGGACAAAAACCAGACCAATCTTTACCGACTTCGTAAGATATGATTCATCGATAAGACAAAATCTCTAATGAAAACTACAACTGAAATTGCAAAAAGATCGATGGTCAGACCGAGAGTGCAAGACGCCCACACTGTTGAACGTTGTTCACCGAAGGAGTCAACCGCACGCACAAGGCGATTATCTGGCTACTGAAAAATCGACGGATGTCGCGATTTCGGTGAACAGATAGACTGCCTTATAATGACAATGTACATCAACTTTCTGAAAGTATTCGAGGTCTAAATCGGTTCGAAAACGTTCCATGCAAGCCAAAAATATTATCACTGCTCATTGTTGCGAACAACAACTAGGTTACTAGCCAAAGCTTTCAAAAACCTTCTACGTATAGCTGAGTAAAAAACCCTGGGATACAGAGAGTTAACCAGCAAGAGAACCACATATTCTGGCAACGTAACCCACGAGAATGGTCGGTGATCCATTAGATCCAGCTAATGCTTAAGGGACAGGACAGCTGAAAGTTTACGTCAATCTTTTCCTCGCAGCAGTCATGTTTCCGACTCGAAGAGTAGGATCAGATGCATTGAAAGGCTGTATATTCCGTCTCTAACGGACCTGCTAGCATCACTTTGACACCATAAATATGAAAACGCCAACTCAACTATCGCGCTGGATACAACCTGGATTCAGATTGTCGACAAACTTGTGTCAGTATTTTGACTGCCTAGAGCTGAATCAATGCGGTCCGAATACCTGATTAATAGCCATAACTCAACGGTGTGACTGGCAATCAGACCGAAAAATGGTCTCATAAAACAACAAAGTGCATTCCAGGACGTAAGAAGAATGTAGTGAACCACGTGACACGTGGGTGGGAATTAGAGAGCTCGTCAGAATGACATACACATGAACTCGTAATATTCTTCACATGTATAATCACGAGGAATCACTTATATCATAGATCTATCGACCGAACGGTTAATCCACATGTGTACAAATAAAAGTGGTAATGCTGTGACTGAGTGTTTTCCAAGATGAATGCTTATTCTCGCTGTCCACTGTTGAGTCAACTCTATAAGAACTTGTTGACGATATTCACTTAGAGCAAAGCGCAGTATTTTAGACATCTCTGCTGAGTTCGAAATAATTCGATGGTTAAAAGCCACTGTTCGGAGCGTCCGTGGTACTCTCCTCACCGGTACTTCCTATCTGTCCTATCCTGATCATAGCAGTATCACTGACAGTGCGATCGCCCATCCTTTAGGCTACAGGAAAGCTATACAGCGAACGGGTGCCGCAAGAAAAAGGAACGGAGAACAAAACTGTGCTTTCTGTCCAGACGAGGACCGAGTTCAGGGAAAAGCGGTTCACAAAATCAAGCTCCACAATTCTGTTTGCTGGGCCACCCGAGTCCAGACACTGAATACCATCAATGGGTCAGCTCCATCACATCTATACATGCTTCCATCGAAAGTCGGAGGGTATTACCGTCTTTATAGAAAGAGTTCGTCTGCAGCACCGTCAAGTAGTTAGTGCAGATGATTCGAACACAGGAAAGGAGAAACAGCGAGGTTTTAATCTCATATAGAAAGATGGTCGACCAGCACATTGTTTCGTTTACATATAGGGTACACGGCACAGTGAAAACACGCGTGCATTCAATTTTTTCATATTTAAGCTGGAAGGACAACCGATGTCAACATCTGACGAAGGTGAGACTCCTAACGAGTTGACAGTGACAAACAACCTAGGTCGCAGTGAATGGTGGCAAGCCCAGCTGACAAGGGGATGTTTTATGTCCTGGGTTGGCGCCACGGCTGACGAGGCTGTAGAAGCGACACTACCACATAGATATGGAGCACACGCACCACATA